GTTCTCTGCTCTGCAGGGAGCCTGCTTCCTCCTCTCTCTCTGCCTGCCTCTCTGCCTATTTGTGATCTCTGCCTGTCAAATAAATAAATAAAATCTTTAAAAAAAAAAGAATATAGATTCTAGAGCCCATGCACTTGGGTTAGAACATCAACTCTGCTACTGACAGTGTGTGTGTCCAAACATATTAGCCTCAGTCTCCTCATTTATACACTGGTAATGATGGTGTTTCTCTCATTAGACTTTTGTGAAGATTAATTGAAAGAATCAACTTGACATAGTACTGGCATAAAGAAAGCCCTGAAGAGACATCAAGTGTTATTTAAATTTATATTATTTTTATTATGAGATTAACTATTTTCATTAGACCTGACCATGAGTTTGATGTATTTATTCCAAATCTGATATGTGAATAAAGATATGCCTTAAGTTTTTTTTAACCAGGTCAATTTTTAATGTTTATTGGCCTATTAGTCTTCTTCCTTTTAAAAAATAATTTTCTTAAATTCTTTCCTCTTCTCTCTCTTCAAGTTTGCCTCACTTATTGATTTATAAATACTTTTTTCTATGTTAAAGATTTAGGGTTTTGTCAGCAAGGCTAAAATAGCCACACTGGAACTTTGTATGGATTAGAAAAAAAGTGCTTCCAGGGGACAAACTCAGGCTCATTTAGGATACACTGTTTGTTGGAAGAGCGGGGCACAGGCTGGATATCAGCTCCCACAGACCCTTTGGCCAATAAGTCTAGAGCACTTAAAATCTATACAACTCTATGTAGTGACTTTGGGGGTCACAAGATTGGAAACAGAGTAAACAAGTTTGTAGTTGGATTTAAATTCTATTGTGATGTTTCCTAAAATACAAAGTGGGGTTTTTTTTAAACATATTTTTGTGTATTTTGCTTTCTGAATTCTTCTATTACTGACTTTATATTTATGGTATTGTTCAGGGTTTTCAGGTAAGAGAAAGGGAGACAGAGAGATGAGACAGTGACAGAAATAAAGAGACAGAGGATGAATGAGAGAGAGGGAGAGGAAGAGAGAGAGAGAGAGAGAGAGAGAGAGAGATTTAATACAAGTAATGGCTCACTGTCTTTCAGAGCCTGGCAAGTTTAGAATCTAAATCTACAATGTGGACTGGAAGGCTGGAGTCCCAGGAGGGTTGATGGTACAGATGAAATTCAAAGACAGCCTCCTGGAGAGTTCTTTCTTGCTTGGGAAGACTGGTCTTTTTCTCCTCTTCAGAACTTCAGCTGATTGGGGAAGGCCCACCTATGTCATGCAGGGCAATCTGTTTTACTCGGAATTCATCGATTTCTTTGGTAATTTCATTCCACAACATTCCTCCAAATTGATACATAATATTAATCACCGTATTTAGGAAAATATTCTCCTAACTCCAAACCAAACATTGACTCTGTTTGTTATCAGAAGCTTCTCAACAATTCTTGGCTTTACATAGTATATTTGTACCTAAATAATAACTGTATATCAAAAACAAATTAAATTGATGCGTATAGGTTACTTCTTTTTTAAAATATTTTATTTATTTATTTGACAGAGAGAGAGATTACAAGTAGGCAGAGAGGCAAGTGGAGAGAAAGGGGGAAGCAGGCTCCCTCTGAGCAGCGAGCCTGATGCAAGGCTTGATCCCAGAACCCTGAGATCATGACCTGAGCAGAAGGCAAAGGCTTAATCCACTGAGCCACCCAGGTGCCCCAACATATAGGTTATTTTACAGTTTTTCTTCAGCAATAATTATTTGTGTGTTTTCAAAAGAGAAACAAACTTAGAAAAGCTTTGTGATTCCCTTTAAGTGAAACACAATTATCTAAAGCCAATATAGAAAATGAGACTTTTTACTAAGATGCTGTCTTGTTAATGAAATCCCTTATAAATTGGGTTGTGCTTATACACCTAATGTGGAATTGAGTGTCATGCAAATTGTTGTAAATGTGATTTTCATTCATCAGAAAATTCTGGGATATTTGTAATCAAGCATACAACCATTAGCAAAAGAAGCCCAAATTAACCTCAAATGATTTGGGGAGGTAAGTGGGATAACAATTATAAATAGTGTGCAAAGTAACCCAGAGACCAGGCGATTTCATTATTCATGAACATATAAATATGGAGAAAGGAAATATTTTGGCACATAAAAAAACTGAGGCTCCATCATATTGTGCTTTATCAAAGTTACATAAAATAATGTGCAGGATTGGCCAACTTTCAGTATATTTTTAAAATGTAACTTGTTAATTTAATTTTCTATAGGAAAGAAAGGCACATTTTACAGTCTATTAACCTGATGAGGATATATATTATCCTGCTTAAACTATTAAAATAATTGTACCTGTGTTTATATAGAACCTGATGTCTTTAAATCTTTCTTTCTTGTCACTTGGGGAAATGAACATGACTTATTATCACAAATTTCCACTTGAAAATATTCCCCAAGCTCCATTATGGTAATTGGCCATCAATGTCCCATCTTTAAGGGATTATTAATTTGATGGGAGAGAGGATATAGATACTTATATCTAAAGTCCAAAGAAGACTCAAATCTGAAGTTCTCCAGCTTCTTAAAGTGATGTTTTTCTGGAATTATTTTCCAGGAGAAGGAGAAAGAGAAAGAGATTATTAAATCTTCTATAGAATAAAAAATATGTATGTTTTCAGAAGTTCCATTCAGGTATAGTAGATTAGAAAAAAAAGTTGAGGGATCAGCAGCACCAGCAGTGAACATCTAACCCCAGGTTAGTAAACAGACTTTGATAGACATTTAGTGAATTTGTGTCTGAACATACAAGTCAACCAGAGATTAATTCATTCCATTATTTTTTTACATTAAAATTGTTGGAGGATATAATATTAACTTGTCAGTTAAAATCAAATTTTGTCATTGTTGTATTTGTTTCCCAAGTAGCATTTGTAGGTATACAAAATCAACTCATTGTTTCTGGTTATAAACTTAAGATTTAACGATTTTTAAAATGCCTTTGAAAATCACAGCGTGTTCTCTGAAATCAGAGCCCTGTTTAAGTTTATTTATTCCACTTTTTTTAGCATCCATTTTCAAAAATGTTTTATTGATATATAATTTACATACCGAAAACTCCACTCATTTCCAGGGTACAATTCAATGGTTATTAGTATATTTACAGAGTTGTGCAACCATAACCAATATCCAATTTCAGAGCATCTTTGATTCAATAACAGGTTAAACATTTCTTTATTTTTGTTTCCCAAGTTTTCCATTTGGGAAATCTCTAGAAAACCCATTTATGTTTTAAGTTTATACGTGAAAATTCTTACGGCCTTTGAGCAAAAACACGTCAAAAAAAGAGTGCCCATTGTGGTCTGTAATATGTATGTTAGCTAATATCAGTGCCATCTAATTAAGTTTGTGAGGAGATCCTGAATTGTCTTCAGTAGTGTTTAACTTCAGATATATAATCCCATTTTAAAGAGGGGTAGCACCTATTCTTAAAAAATCTTGCAATTAAATCTTTTAATATAATCCATTTATAAAAGTTCAAGAGGAACAAAAGAATCTGAGTATCTGTTATCCTTACAAAAACCTGGTTGAGACTGGTGCTATTCAAGTGGACTAAAACAGGTACAATAACCATAGAATTCCTTTAGATTTTTAATTCTATCACAATATCATGTTTGCATCATTAGAATATTTCAAATCTGGAACATGTAACTTTAGCTCCCTTTAAGTAGCCTTACCAAACTATTATTTCATGTTATAGTCTTCAATTTCGTAAAGGGCCAACATAATAAAGTTCATACAAAGGACAGTTCTGCATCATTTGTGAAATTACTCATGAAGAGTTCTGTTCAATGTCTTTATAAAAATATTTATACAATGTCTTCCTCTTAGTGAGACAACTGGGGTACCACCTCATTACTCACGATAAACTGATAATGTGACCTATCCATCCCAACCCAGTTCTTCTGCAAGTTCAGAACTACATTCTTATTCAAATGCTGAAATTATCAGTACTCCTGTATACTGTGAAAGCTACCCCCTCCCTCAAATTATTGCATAGGTTTTATGCTCTGGTTCATGTTGAGAGGTTTTGGAAAATGTTTCTTTAATTAAAGCCACTCTAAAATCTTCAATAAGTAGTCAGTTTATACACAATAAATCTACAAATGAATTGGGTCATTGGCTTTTTAATCCCAAACCCAGATGATTAATAGAGATGACAAGAGCAGTAATAAAATGTGGGATCAGGGGAACTGTACGAACCTTAGGTTAATTGACTTCCTTTTTTTTAATTTATTTTTAAAAAATTTTTAAATTTATTTTTTTAATTTATTTCTTATCAGTTTAACAGAATTTATTGTTTATGCACCACACCCAGAGTGCCATGCAATATGTGCCCTCCATAATACCCACTACCTGGCTCCCCCAACCTCCCACCCCCCGCCCCTTCAAAACCCTCAGATTGTTTTTCAGAGTCCATAGTCTCTCATGGTTCATCTCCCCTTCCAATTTCCCTCAACTTCCTTCTATACTATTGCTTTATTAACTGAAGAGAGAATGGGAAACTGGGCGTTACATAGCCATGGTCTGAATGCGTGAGCTTCTAAGTGAGCAAATGAATATGGAAGGAAGAGATAATTTTACTACTACCAGAAGTCCCTGAAGGAGTCTGGATTGTCTAGATTTCAAAGCAAGCATTGTAGAGAAGGCTGCAAAAGTCCATAAATTTGTTTAAAATTCATTATGTTTCACACTTAAAATGGGTGAATTTTGGTAGGTAGGTACATTTTATCTTAAGTGGATTTTAAAAAATTTTAAAAGGAAGATTCTAAACAGCCTAAATATGGAGACAAGCAAACTCTATTGTTGGACTTAGATTTAATCATCTCTGTATTGTATTTTATATTTTGTCTTACAAATTAAAATTACATTCAGATAAAATTAGGTGATCACTTTCATGTGCCTGGTAGTTGACAGGCCCTTTCATGTCCACCTCTTTTTTTTATATAGATTCAGGACACAATCTGAAACTTGAGAAAATGGAGCTGCAGAATTACTCCTTTGTGTCAGAATTTGTGTTGTATGGACTCTGCACTTCACAACACCTCCAGCATTTTTTCTTTATATTTTTCTCTGGGATCTATGTGGCCACTGTGCTGGGTAACCTCATCATTGTGGTCACTGTAATTTCTGACTCCCACTTGCACTCCTCTCCTATGTACTTCCTGCTGGGAAATCTATCTTTCTTAGATATATGGCTAGCCTCATTTGCCACCCCCAAGATGATCAGGGACTTTCTTAGTGATCGAAAGCTCATCTCCTTTGGAGGATGTATGGCTCAAATCTTCTTCTTGCACTTTATCGGTGGGGCTGAGATGGTACTTCTGGTTTCTATGGCCTATGACAGATATGTGGCTATATGCAAACCTTTGCATTACATGACCATGATGAGTCGGCAGACTTGCATGGGGCTGGTGTTGGTTTCATGGGTCATTGGATTTGTGCACTCCATCAGTCAAGTAGCCTTTACTGTGAATTTACCTTACTGTGGCCCCAATGAGGTGGACAGCTTCTTCTGTGATCTTCCTCTTGTGATCAAGCTTGCCTGCATGGACACCTATGTCCTGGGTATACTTATGATCTCTGACAGTGGATTGCTCTCCATGAGCTGTTTTCTGCTCCTCTTGGTGTCTTACACTGTTATCCTCATCACTGTCCGACAGCGTGCTGTTGGTGGGGTATCCAAAGCACTCTCTACTTGCTCTGCACACATCATGGTAGTCACACTCTTCTTTGGGCCCTGCATTTTCATTTATGTGTGGCCTTTCAGTCGGTTCTCTGTGGACAAGCTCCTGTCTGTGTTTTATACCATTTTTACTCCACTCTTGAACCCTCTTATCTACACATTGAGAAATACAGAGATGAAAACAGCTATGAGGAAACTGTGTAACCAAAGTGTGACTTCTCACTGAATTCCAGCTTTCCTTAGACCTACATGTTCTTACTCACTCAGGGGATATCCTTTCATTAATGGGATTCTGCATAAAGATTTCATCCTGATGTTTTATTGGTATAATTTGTATTGTATTATATTACAGAGAAATAGTTGTGGATTACAACAAAAATCATGTGTGTAATTTTATTCTATATAATTTCATACTTTAAATAAAATTTTATAATATCACTTTATGGTATCACTACCTTATACTCTAAGATTTATAATACATTGTAACAATTATTATAATTTTATTATATAATTTTGTACTATAAATATAATTTATAAGTATAATATAACTACATTGTAATGTAATATTAGAATTGTATAGTAATTACTATGTAATACAACTTTATGTAAACAGATATACATGTATATACACTTTCAACCCACACATTCACTTTGGAATGGACTTGGCAATTTTCTCTTTGTTAAACCAGATTTCTCTTCATAGTTTGTTTACAATATTTATAGAAAGTGATTTGAATCTCCTAATTATAGTTCAATACACTAAGAGCTGTCAGTTTGTAGGCGTTCAAGACATGAAACATTCAGCAGAAGGAAGGTATGTGAGAATAAAATGTTCTATCGATCTTTATCCTGGTTTTTAAAGCCTGAGAGGAGGGAAAAGACACTATTTCAAAATCTTATTGATATAAAAGGAAACTTTTTCTTGGGAATGTGTATTATGCTTAAACTTTATATTGAAAAAAATGAATGTATGTCAGTGAAATTCAATTACAGAAGTTAATTTTCACACAGGGTAAATCAAGGTATTTTACCAGAAGGTAATTTTCACACAGGGTATTTTATGGGTTAATATTTTATGGTGTAAAATAAGCTATTGTGTTACTATTTAAAATTCACTGGAGTAGGAAATTAATAAATTTTAACCCACAGACTTTAAATAAACCATACATCTACATTGTTTCTTACTGAGTTGATTCTGTCCCTTGGGATGGAATCTATTAGGAAGGGTGTTTGAGTACCACAGAGTCAGATCTTATGCTGAGTTTTTAAATGCCTTTGGATCCTAAAAAGACAATTATAAGCGAGAGTTAACATTTGTATTAACTGAACTAATGGTCAAAGAATTCAATCAATAATCTTGTATATTGATTCTGAAACATCCAACGAAAGGAGAGAATTGGCCAATGACTGGATTACTTGAGTAACTGGATGAAATTTCTAATAATTTTGGACAGTGTTTTCAATAAAGAGAAACATACTCCTGGATACTTGTGGCTTCTCCTATGGCTGTAATCTCGCACATTTTCATAAACACTAAAAGAATATAGTTTGAAAACTGCCTTGGGATAAATTTCTCAGGAATCTTCTTGTTTGCTACTGCAGTAATACTTTGTTTTGGAATTTCATAAGACTTTGGCCATGTCAATTTTTATGACCAATTATACCCCTGTAAGTGAACAATTAAAGAGCTTAAAAGCTCCACTATCTTTTCACTACAGCATTATTTAAAATAAACAATATATGGAAGTAACCAGTGTCTAAGCAGAGATGAATGGATAATATAGAATATTAATTAGCCATTAAAAAAGAATGAATTGGGGCACCTGGGTGACTCAGTGGGGTAAGCCTCTGCCTTCAGCTCAGGTCATGATCTCAGGGTCCTGGGATCTAGTTCTGCATTGGGCTCTCTACTTGGTAGGGAGCCTGCTTCCTCTTCTCTCTCTCTGCCTGCCTCTCTGCCTAATTGTGATCTCTGTCAAATAAATAAAATCTTAAAAAAAAAAAAAAGAATGAAGTGTTACCCCTTAGACAAAATGGCTGGACTGGGAGGGTATCGTGGTAAATGAAATAAGTTAGAGAAAGACAAATATCTTATGATTTCTTATATGTGGAGACCAAAAATACAAAGCAAACAAACTGAAGAGAAAGAGATGACAGAGAAGAAACTGGCAGTTGTCAGATGGGAGGAGGGTGGAGCTGGGCAAAGTAGTTGAAGGGCATTAAGAGATACAAAGTTCCAGGTACACAGTAAATAACTCAGGGATGTGATACACAGGGAATATAGTCAATAACATAGTAATAACCTTGTAAGTTGACAGTAACTAGACTTCCTGAGGGGACCATTTCATAAAGTATAAAAATATTGAATCAATCTGATACATACTTCAATAGAATATTGTATGTCAATTATACTTCAATTAGAACAAAGAAAGAGTGGATATCAACATAGCTTTTAGGACAATGATACCTTATTCTTATATTGTTGAAGAGAGCAAAAGCAGGGTTAAAATCTGAAAGTGAAAAGTTTTATTTATAAACATGCTAGAATACATTGAAATAAAAAAGGAAGAAAACATATTGTATCTTTAGAGGTTAAATCCCGTTATAAATGAACATCATGTCTATGGGAATCTATTTCATGTTTCCCTCTTAATGCCTTTATTTTAAAACTTTGCGGAGACATTTTAGTTTCCCTCTGAACAAAGGGGAAAGAAGTGTTGCTTATCCCAACCCCCGACCCCTCCCTCCTGCCAAATAAGGCCCAGCTGGGAGGGCATTTCTGTTGCCTCTGAAATCTTGAAAAAAACATCAGAAGAAACAGCATCAAGTGTCAGTGTTGCGCTAAGGCAGGCAGTGGGTCCTAGAAACCTGTCTGCCAGAGCATCACCCAGTCTGCACCGCAAGAACACTCACGGGCTCCAGGCTGTGGTGGAGCCTGGCGTGAGCCAGGTGTGGGCGCAGCGGGGAATCTGGGCCCGGGCCAGGGGGCGGGGGGGGGGGGGGGGGTTGCCGGGAGGGTCGCCAATAAAGCGTTTGGGAGGTGGTGCGGTGCTGGCATGCCTGCCTTTGGGCCTCCATGCTTGCGTGTCTCCTGCTCTACGGGGCTGAGGTGGCTGGTGTTGGTCAGAGGGCCTCGGGGCAGGGTCGGCCACTGGGGGAGCACACACTGGGGCCAGGCCTGGCTGCCTGTGTGAGACCTCAGGTGTGCCTTACTAGCTCCTTGAAGGGCAGAGAGGCCTTCCTGACAAACGTGGGTGTGCTTGCCAGTGGAGACTCCTGCTAGGCATGGCCTGCTTCCTGTTGCGGACTCCATAGGTGTCACCGGCCACTTGTTGGGGACGCTGGATCTCCATCAGGTAGGTGAGCCGTCAGCACGCTGGGGTGGAGGCGGCGCCAGGTCGTGTTGAAGATCCAGATCGCGTCTTCATTCTGGCCGTGTCGCCTTGTGGAAGATCATGCCCCAGGTGTTGTCCTCCTGCAGTGCCCCTCTTTGTGTGATGTTCCTGCAAGGCTCCTTCTTGATGGGCCCCACATAATGGCCCATCTTGAGTGTTCTCAGAATAGGCTTCTGGTATAGCTCTCCTTCCTCGGGCCCTGTAGCTGGGGCCTGTATTGTGGTGATGTCACAGCATATGCAAATAGGGAATGAGAACTTTGGATTCCAGAACTTTGTCCCGACCTTGGGCAACCATCTGTCAGGGATGGGGCAGTGATTTCAGAGTTGTGTGGGTCAGTCAGCAGTTGTGGTCAGTCTGGTCCCAAAACTGACTGGGAAAAGAAGTTGTGGTTGTTTCAGGGAGGGGTGATGAGTGCTGTTTTACAGGACATCCTAATTAAAATGCCAAAATGGAGGGCTTCCAGAGAGTTCCTGAGAACAAGACTCAGAGAATGGGCTAGTTTTTAGTGTCTTCCATTTCAATTGAGACTGCATTCTTTAGGGAGAAGAATCCCATCATAGCCATTTCAGATTCTGCAGTGCTTCGTCGTGGGTTAACATGGAATTAAAAAAATAATAAAGAATAGGAGAAGTTAAAAGGAAATATATCTGCCTTAGGATTTCTTTCCTTTTTTCTTATTGGTGTAATACTGATTTTTTATTTCATAGACTTTAGACGTAGCCACTTTTTATCAAAATATGCCTAATTCTGTTTATACATTTTATTCAATTAATGTCAAGCACCAGCTTTATTTCACATTACGTGAACAGAGCTTGTAGTGGACATAGAGAATTTAAGAACAGACATTCTCTCTGTAGTAGAATAAAAGCAAGGAAATGGTCACAAAATATGCTATCAGATGATTGTTATGATCAATATAAAAATAATCTCTGAGAGCATAGGAGAGGGAACTTAATCCAGTCCTCATGGTTAGGTAAGGCTTCCCTTTATTACTTCAGTTTTTCTCTGATTTCTGAGGATGCTGTATTTGTCCTATTATTACACACACACACACACACGCACACACACACACACACACACAGCATGTTTAGCACAGAACCAACCAGTCCTGTTGTAAATGCTGAAATAGATGCTAGATCCCATAAGTGTTTCTGACTTTTTAGAAGTACCCATGGCTCTTGTCTCATTCCCAGTCTCTGCTCAGGTCTCTGTCTTGCTCTGGCCAGATCCTTGAGGATGGATGTGGACTCTTGTGCTGGCACTTTAGGAGTTTTGTTGTCTGGAGTGGCTAAACATGCCTCCATGATATGTTAATGAAACTTGAGTGAGTAGTGTCACCAGTTTTCTGGGAACTATGAGCTTTTGTAGGTAATTTGTCATTGCCAGTGCACAGGCAGCCATAGATTTTAAATGGAGGAACTTCCTTGAATTTTGAGAAAGTGTTTATGAAACTCATTTTCCTGTTTTGAAATAAGGTAACTAAAATACAGAATAAAGTGTTTTTCAAAGTGTGATTTGAAGACTGCCTACCTCAAAATCACTTGGGATGCTTTTCAGAATGCAAAGAACGTGGATCCATCACTGCTTTTCTGAATTAGAATTCTGGGAATGAATCCCATAAATGTGCTTTTTACACTAAGCTGCTTCAGGTAATCCTTATTCATAAACATGACTGAGAACCACTGGATTATTGTTGACATTATCTATCTGCAGGTGTAGTTGTTATTAAGGCTTGGTTAGAAGGATTTGCTTACGTGAGAAGTCTCTCTTAATGGACCAGGATGCATTCTCAGAAATACATCATGAGGATATAGTAAATCAAAAACTG